ACTGCTGGGTGTGCCCTCTACCCAACAACAACAAAAAGCATTTGGCATTTGTAAAGCTCTTTCCCAGGGGTAGAAGTTTGTAGGAAGAGATGATTATTTCACAAAAGAACACTAGCTACTTCCCATAACTAGGGCTACTTTTGTTTTTTCCTCCTCTCCAGTTCTTCCCATCTCACCCCACCCCTTCTTTCCTTTCTTCCTGTTTTTTTTTTTTTTTTTTTTTTTTTTTGGTTTTGGGGCAACACTCAGCTGTGCTTAGGGCTTCCTGGCTCTGTGCCCAGGGATCACTCCTGGTGGGTTCAGGGGACCATAGAGATCAAACTGGGGTCAGTCAAAAGCAAGGCAAGCAGACTTGGTCCCTTTTCCTGGTCTTGGGGGCTACACCAGTCTGGAGCTACTGCTGGCTGTGCTGGGGCTCACCCCAAGCAGTGCTCTCAGCCTGCAGAACCCGAACCCCTTCTGTGCCTAGTGGCCCCAAGGCTTTCTGCAGTCAACCCTCTGTGTCCTCTTCCCTGGGCTTTCACACACCCCCAACTCCCCAGCCCCGGTTAATTCCTCCCCTGCATTCCCAAGCTCTCAGCCAGCTTTGAAAGAGGTGGAGGAATTTTCAAACCCAGGGTGCAGCCTGGACACAACTGAGGGCCCCTTTGTTGGTTTCCAGCAAATTAAAATTTATCTCTCGGAAGGAAATGAGGGGGCTGGGCTTTTTCTTCTCTTAATGGGCCCTGATGAAGGAAATGAATGCAGCAGCAAGAGATCAGAAATCCGAGCCCTACTCACTCCACCTCAGAAAGGTCGGGGCTCCCGCACCCGAGAGGGGCAGCTGGGCACAGTGTGTTTTATTATATAATTAACCTTGACCTCTCTGGGTTCAAAGAGAGAGGTTAGTTGGAAATAAATCAATAGTCTGGTCTGGTCACTTCAAAGGCTACAGCAAGCCCTGGAAAATCCAGCGTTGGCCCGTGTGTGAATTGGAAGATTGTGGCAGGCAGTGAGATCTGAAATGGAAATTAATTGTGTATCTGCTTCATTTAATCAAGCAATCTGGAGTCTTTACTTGTGACTGGGGGGAGGGGAGCTGGAGCAGGGGGCAGGAGACACCAGCTGTTACCTGTCACCCTGGAGCTGGGACAATGGGCTTCTTCCCCAAGCTTGGGGATCCCCTCCCTTCCCCAAGTGTGGTGCTTCTTCTCGACAGGCCTGGAATCCCTTGGTTGTCCCTGCATCACCCCATAACACAGAGCCTTTGCCAGGTCCTCGCAAGGGTGCCAAGGCTTCAGGGATTCATTTTCTGCCCACAGCTGCCTGAGATGAGGACCTTCAGGCAATACCCAGAAACAGAGCTTCAGGGAGGCTGAATACCAAGTCTGGAGTCACTCCAAAGCTTCTCAAGTCATTTTTACTGCTGTGGCTCAGAGTGAAAATAAGATCTGGGCAGCAGAGACAGTATAGGGAATGTGGTCAGCCCCGGTTTGAATCTCCAGCACTGGACAGGGTCTCCTGAGCCTCAGCAGAGGTAATCTAGTGGGGTTTGGGGGACCATATAAGGTTCTGGGGATCGAACCTGGGCCAGCTGTGTACAAGGCTAAAGCCCTCCCTGCGGTCTTATCTCTCGGGCCCCCATATGTCCTTTCTTTTGCGGCGCTAGGGACGAGGCCTCGTAACACGAGGCCGTGGCTCAGTGCTTGTCTCCCATTCCTGCCCTGCAAATTATTTTTGCCCCAAACCAGTACCACTGGGGCTGGAGACAGCAACTGGTCGAGCCCATTCTTGGCAAAAAGGGAGTCTGAGTTCATTCCTCAGCCCCAGTGGCTTCTCCAGGACTACATGGGGTGGGGAGGGGGGGGTGAGGTGACACCACACCCAAGCACCAAAGGATGTGCTCCCACCGGAGGGCTGGGGACTGCTTTCAACTGAGGAGTTAATTCTGTAGGGCAGGACTGACCTTCATCCTGAAGTTGTCGTTCCCCCTGAGTCCGCTGGATGGCAGCAAAACCCACCTCGCCACAGCCTTCTCAGGCTCCAGGGCCTTCCAGGCTGGGACCAAGACAGCTGCAGCTTCATCACCCCCCCCACCACCACCACCACCACTTGGGGTCACTTTGTCATTTCATTCCCAGTTTCTCTGCCTGGAACAGTGGGATTGTTTAAATGTTTTATTTACTTTTATTTATTGGGAATCAGACACACCCAGCAGTCCTCAGATCTTAATCCTGGCTCAGGGATCACTCCTGTGGGGTTCAGAAGACCTTCTGGGGTGCTGTGGGCTGAACTGGGATCAACAGCATGCTGGGCAAGTGCCTTGGTCCCTGTGGCATTGCTCTGGCTACTGCTTTGGTTCCCATTTTAGAGTCTTGCCATCCTTTGCTGGGAAGGAGGAAGGCAGGAAGGTGGGAAGGTGGGAAGGCAGGGAGGGAGGGAGGGAGGGAGGGAAGAGAAAGAGGCCAGAGCGATAATACAGCGGGTAGGGCATCTGCCTTGCATGCGGCAGACCTGGGTTCGATCTCTGGCAACCCATATAGTCCCTCAAGCACCGCTAAGACTGATTCAGACAAAAGGAGAGAAAGGGTTGAGTTTTTGCTTTTGGGAAAATCAGGCAAGTCAATGGGTACAGGAGGCTTGGTCAGGTACCACCTTGTACTTCTCCGTTTCCCCATTTTTTGACTGATCTTTGAGAAGTATGCATGCAAAGGAAAACTCCACAAAGAGTCTGTCACGAGAGAGACGGAAGTGCCACAGCTCTGGGACCCTGCTCAGGGCAGGAGAGATTCCCAGGGAACCCGTTGTGCTTCTGAGAGAGCCCCTGGCCCTCAGGGGCACTGATCACAAAGGACAAGGATGGTCCAGACAGCTGCAATCATGACCACCTCTTCCTGAGCGTGAAGCACATCCCCCCACACCAGACGCCCAGATCTTTGCCAGTGTTGTGATCTTTCAAGTTTCCCCTGATCTCTCACTGCTAGACTGGCCACAGGGGGCTGGCATAGGGGAGAGGGGCAAGAAAGGGAGTTCAGTCAGGTTACAGCAGGCTCCTTAGCAAGGGGAGGGACATTCCTGCAGGCAGTGCCGGGCTCAGCACGGTCACAGAGCAACCATGGAACTGAGTGGGTGGTTTCAGACCCCAGACCAGGGCATGCGGGACAGCCTGGACTAGGTGTCAACTCCAACCCTGCCACAGCCAGCGTGAGATCCCGGCTGTTCCTTCCTCTATGTCCTTTCTCGGCTTCAGAAAGGGTGGGGAGTGAGGGGGTGGGATGCTGGCCACTGGGGGACCTGGCAACATAGCATCGCCCCCCATGCTGCCCAGGGAGCAGCAGAGGCACCTAAAACTCAGCGTTACTTTGGCAACAGGACTTTTTTTTTTTTTTTGCTTTTTGGGTCACACCCAAAAAGAAATCAGATGGGCTGGAGACGTAATGAGGTTTAGAGATGACCGCTGGACTAGAGCCATTACTGACTGGATTCCACGGGACGTCAAAAGATCGCATGGACGCCCACCTACAAGATGGTCAGACTTCTTCGTCAAGACCCTGAATAATCGGTTTGAGGCTCTGCATGTTCCTAGAATGAGCAGATGCCATTGGTCTACGCTAGCACACAACAGGGATGAATGGAGACATTACTGGCATCCGCTCGAGTAAATCGATGAATAATGGGGTATCAAGTGATCAAGGGTCACACCCAGAGATGCACAGGGGGTTACTCCTGGCTCTGCACTCAGGAGTTGCCCCTGGCAGTGCTTGCAGAGCTCTGAGGACCATATGGGATGCTGGAAATCGAACCCGGGTCGGCCACATGCAAGGCAAAGCGCCCTACCCGCTGTGCTATTGCTCCAGCCCCGGCAACAGGACTCTTATTCAGTCAAAATGAGCAGTGACAGGCCAGGTGACAGGACTTCTAGCCTTCTTGCTAAGGGACCGGTTCTAGGGTGAGGGGTACAGACAAGCCACCGCTAGCAGGGGGTGCTGCCTGGGATCTTGGGGAGCCCCAGGCACAAACCTCTGAATCCACACGGATCTTCTAGAAAATAACAAATCCAATAAGCAAAGCGGCTAATGCTCCAGGTGCGGGGGAATCTGAGGAGTTTGGGGGTTGCTTTAGCGTCTGTCTTGACTTAAGGAACATACATTTATCTCTTTACTTAAAAAAAATTTTTTTCCCTCTACTATTAAAAAAGAGTTTCTGAGTGTAAGTAAAAATAGGTATTTGTTTCCTTATTTTTTTTCTTTCTTTTTTAAGTATTTCAAAGAACAACATAACAGAAAAGAGAAGCAAGCATGAGGAAAGAAGGCCTTTGCAACACCTCATATATAAAAATAGCTTCGGCTCTGCCTGCCGAGGTCAGCCCGAGGGGGCGGGGGGGCGAGCCAGGCTGGAGGACACTGCAGGGTGGGGGGGCCCCCACCACGCACGGGCTGGCACACGCAGGACATTCTGGGGGTCGGTGACCTCAGGGGCCAAGTCTGGGGGAGCAGGAGAGAGCAGCTTGGGGCGCTCCAGCCAGGACGAAGGGGCTGAGGCGGTCAGAGTGGGGGCGGCTGGACAGAGGGAGGCGGCTGGACGCTCACAGCCCACAGCCGGCTGGATCGGAAGGATAAGCGAAGCGTGCTCTCTGTTTTTGGCTTTTTTTCTCGTCTTCTTTGACGGATTCTGTCTTCAGTTCCATGGACAAGGACCCGGCACCCCGTGGACGGGGAGGAGGGGTTGGCACAGGCCGCAGTGGGGGGCCCTGAGGTAGAGGAGGTTTCTTCACCCCTGGAATTGGGGCGCTGGTTTCTCTTTTTCCTTTTTTTTCTTTTTTACACCAGACGTGTGGGGGAAGGGAGGGGGGCGGAGGGACCCCTGAGGGCCTTGAGGTAGGAACGCTGGGGCTGTGGGGGACATTCATTCCGGCTGAGGTAGGTGCTGGCCTGGCCGGCCAGGTGGCAGGCCTGAGGGCCGAGGTGGGTCAGGAGGTGGGACCCTGGCTGGGACCCCGAGACCTGGGCCTTGACGGCTTCGCTTGGGCTCTTTAAGTCTCTGGGGTTTTTTTTTGCAAAAGAAAAATGTTACTTCAGTTCCAAGTCACATGGCACCAGGTATCAGTACGGGGCGTTGGCCCGGGATGGGGGTTGGGGTTTGCAGGACAGGCAGCGGTCCGGGGGGGGTCCCCTCAAGTCCAGGGGGGTCCCCACATGGCGACTTCACTTATCCCAACCACCTGAGGCCAGTCAGGGCAGAGGCGTTGGAAGCCCCATGGGGACCCATGAGATGGACAGGTGTCGCCCTTAACCTGAGAATGGGGCGTCCCCACGACGCGGCCACACGCTACTGTCCAGAGGGCGCTGAGGGGGCAGCAGGGGCACCCACCGGGCCTGTGCAGGGGGTGGCGGTGGCCCCCTCCTCGGGGAAGCCCTGCGGCAGCGGCCTGGACAGGGGCGTCTCCTCACACGGGGCCTGCAGGAAGGAGGTACAGGCATGGGACAGGGACAGAGACCCCAGAACCAGCCCCGGCCCAGAGGAAGGGAGGAGAGGGTAGGGGAGGAAGTAGGGGGGATAGAGGTGGAGGAAAAGAGGAAGGGGCTGGAGCGATAGCACAGCGGGTAGGGCGTTTGCCTTGCACGCAGCCAACATGACCGACCCAGGTTCGATTCCCAGCATCCCATATGGTCCCCTGAGCACTGCCAGGAGCAATTTCTGAGTGCATGAGCCAGGACAGTAACCCCTGAGCATCGCTGGGTGCGACCCAAAAAATAAAAAAAAAAAAGAGGGCGGAGGAAGAAGGGAAGGAGGGAAGGGAGGAGGGGGGGAAAAGAGGGAGGGAGGAGGAAGGATGGGGAAAAAGGGAGGCGGAAGAAGGGGTCAAGGTGGGGGAGGGAGGCTCGCTCACCGTGGCGGCGCTGGGGCTGGGCTCTGGGGGTCCCCCCAGGGTCCCCACGGGTGGGGGCGGCTGGCCCAGCTCCTTGGTGTGCATAGGCTTCTCGCCACGGCCCCCTGCGTCCAGCGCCAGGAGACCAGGCTCCCTCTGGTTCCGGGGCTGCGGCGGGGACAGCTGGTTCTCCACGTCCTTGCACAGGAGGACCCTGGGGGGCAGGAAGACAGCCCAGAGACAGTGAGCACCCTCCCCTCCTTCTCCTGGGCTCCTCCACTCCCAGGGCCCAGCCAGGACCCACCTGCCCCTCTGGCCGAACAGAAGGAAGAGGACACAGAGAACGATGCAGGTGACCCCAATGTGGATGCCAATCACGATGCTGGTGGTGGAGGTCGGGGTTCCCACCTCCTCCTTCCGGCAGTCACAGGGCGGGCTCAGGGCTGTGAGGGTGGGTGCAGGGGGTGCTGATGTGAACCCTCCACACCAGCGCCCAGAGAGCCTCTCTGTCACCAGCTCCGGTCCAGGCCCACACACCCACAGGTGCTGTGTTTTTGCCCATGACACCTCTTGGGGTTTCCTTCCCCGCCTCCCGCCATCCTCGCAGACCCTCACAGCGCGGCATCCCACCCCTAAGCCCTTCTCTGGCCCAACCTTTTGGTTCTTTTTTTTTTTTTAACTTTTTCGTGTCACACCCGGTGATGCACAGGGGTTACTCCTGGCTCTGCACTCAGGAATTACCCCGGGCGGTGCTCAGGGGACCATATGGGATGCTGGGAATCGAACCCGGGTCGGCCACGTGGAAGGCAAACGCCCTACCCACTGTGCTATCGCTCCAGCCCCCCTTTTGGTTCTTTTACCCATAACTTTGCGCCAGAAGGAAATAACACTTTTTTACTCAGAACATTTTGTTTTTGTTTATTCTTGGACCACACCCAGGAATGCTAAGGGCCTCTTCCCGGCTCTGCACTCAGGGATTACCGCTGGCAGGCTCAGAGGGCCATATGGGGTGCCGGGGACCGAACCCATGGATTAAACCCAGGTCAGATGAGTATACGGAAAACTCTCTACCCACTGTACTATTGCTCCGGCGACTAAATGCATTTGTCAGCGAAATTTTGGAAGATGCTATGAATATCATTTTGAACTCCTGCAAATATGAGAGAGTGAGAGAGAGACAGACAGACAGACAGACAGAGAGGAGAAAGAAACCTGCCCAAGGGCACACCACTAGCACATAAACTGGGACCCAGGCCTGTATTCTCAGCTGCCCCCCCCTTCCTGCTCCCCTCGGCCGCCTATTCCTGAGACCTCCTGCTGGGCTGGCCTCTAGCTCACCCAAGCCTTACCTGTCCTCTCAGAGGCTCCCCTGAGAGACACAAAGTGGACGGTGGCATTGCCGTCCCCGTGCTGGTTATAGGCGAGCAGCTTCACCTCGTACACCGTGCTGGGATCTGGGGGTGGGGTGGGGGGAGAGGGCTGGAGGGGCGGCCTGCACCGCTTTCAGCCTTCGCACCTTCTCACTCTTACACCCCTCCCTCCCCGGCCCTCCCCCACGCATTGCCACACTCCCCGCCCAGCCCCCCTCCCCGAACTCCTCCCCCTCGCCCAGTCCTCACCGAGCCGGGTCAGGTTGTAGGAGGACGCGGTCCCGGGCAGCAGGACGGGGCCGCTGAAGGCCGCCTTGCTGGCCGGCCTGTAGAACAGCTTGAAGCCTCCCTGGAGCTGTGCCAGCCGGGGCCAGGCCTCCCACAGCAGCTGCAGGGAGTCGGGGCCCAGCACCCGCACGGACAGCGGGGGCGGGGCCGGCGCTGCGGGCAGAGGGCAGAGGGGAGGCGGCGCTGGACCCAAAGTCCGCGAGGGGGGGAGGTATCTTCTCCCCAGGCAACGGGCGGGCAGGGATGGGCAGCTTAGCTCAGCTCTCTCTCCCCCTCCTCCCTCCTTTCTCCTCTCTCTCTCCTCTCTCTCCCCCTCCTTCCTCTCTCACTTTCTCTCCGTTCTCTCCTCTCTGTCCTCTCTCTCTCTCCCTCCCTCCTCTCTGCGCGGGTGGGGTGGGGGGGGTCTCTTGTTCAAGCAGCAAACAGCTCCACACTGATGCAGAATCCACCCCTTGCCAGCACTGCCCACCAGCACCTTGCACTTGCACGCCCTGCACACAGTGGCCCAGCCAGCCTCACCTTCCCCCAGGGTGCTGGCCAGCGTGGGCGGGGAGGCCGAGCTGGCCCCCCTGGGCGTGTAGGCCTTGATGTAGAAACTGTAGGCGGTGGACGGCTCCAGGTCGCTCACCAGGTGCTGGAAAGTGCTCTTGCTCACTGCTTCCTGGTACTCCAGCTCCGGTGGGTCTGGGGGGGCAAAGGGTCAGGCGGAGCGGGGAAGGGGGGGACTGTGAAGGGTCCGAGGGGTCCTCTCTGCACCGGTGGGCAGGGCCCCCGGGGGTCGCGAAGGCCCGGCAGGGCGGGGCTGGGGTGAGAGCCGCGCGCGCACGGGCGCCACCTACCGGCAGCCCTGCGGATGTGCAGGACGTAGCCGATGATCTCCTTGGTGTGGACCAGGGGCTCGGTCCAGGACACGCGCACCTCGGTGGACGACACCGACACGGCCTGCACGTTGAGGGGGGGCCCGGGCAGCCCCTCGGCCCACAGCACAGTCAGCCGGGCACTGGCCTGGGAGGAGCCTGCGCTGTTCTCGGCCACGCACTGGTAGATGGCCTCGTCCTCTGGGCCGATCCCGGAAATGGTGAGGGTGCTGAGGGGAGGGGAGGAAAGGGGGCGCGGGAAGTCTCAGCTGCAGACACGGAACCTGGGGGCGGCCCCGTGACCCACACCCAGACCCCCCCCCATTCCCACGGCAGCGCCTCCGCCCCGCACACATATTCATGCGCACAACTACACGCATGCATACACAATGCGTGCTTGCACACATACAATGCACAGATACACACACACATGCATGCACGCACACACAATACAGACACACAGTACACACGGATGCCAACGTGCCTGTTGTTATTCTTGAGCCTGACATGGCCTCCGGGCCCCAGCACTTGTCCATTCTTCAGCCAGGTGACGTGGGGGGGCGGCTCCCCCTGGGCCTGGCAGGTGAACATAGCAGTGGTCCCCGCCGGCCTGGAGATGGACTGGGGGTGCTGGACGAACTCTGCCGGGGCTGGGGGCACACAGAGCGACAGGGGCGTCCTGAGCCCGGCGAGGAAGGAGGCAGCAGCGGGGTGGGGGCTGCGGACACCCACATGACCCCTCCCCACAGAGCCCCCTGCAGATGGGCCCCCCCAGCCCTGGCCCCGGAAGCAGGAGAGAGGCCCATTTTCAGGGCTGTTTTAAAAGACTGACATTTGTATCCGAAAGCAATCAGCCTGGGCTCCGTGCTCAGGAAATTGTTAAATAAATAAATGTGCTAATAGGTTTGGCTGCACCTCCAAGGAAGCAGTGAACGGGAGATGGATGAGCGCCCCCCACCCCAACAGACGCCTCTCGCCCTTCCGTTCAGTTCCACGCTCCTCCAATCCGGGACTCGGGGCTCCATTAACACTCCCCCCCCACCACCACCACACTAAGCGCCCACCCGAGGGTTCCAGGGAGCGGCTGGTGCAAAGCCCCCGTGGGCGCGCACGCGTATGACAGTGTGAAAATGACACTCGCCCCCCCCCAAGGCATAGGCAAGTGAGAGTGTGGAAGTGCCACACGTGTGAATGAAAACAGCACGTGTGTGTGTGTGTGTGGGGGGGAGCACGTGTGCCCTCACCGGCCAGAGAGACCTCCCGGGCTTTTAAAGTGCAGATGATTTGGGGGTGGGGGGCAGAGGCGCTCCTGGGAAGGAGAGGGGAGGAGGTGTGGGATGGCGCAGAGGAGGCAGGAGGGGTGTGAGGGTGGACTGGCTTTTGAGAACAGAGAGTAGGAGGGGCGCGGGGCCGCGGGGCGCGGGGGGCGGGCCCTACCTTGCACCACCAGGCGCCCCTGCGCGGTCCTGCGCACGCGCGTGCCCGGCCGGTTGGCAGCACACACGTACACGCCCGAGTGCTGCACGGTCACGTCGGAGATGATGAGGTTGCCGGTGCCCAGCACCTGGATGCCCTCCACCCCGATGGGGCGGCCGTCTGCGGAGGAGGAGGAGGAGGAGGGAGGGTCGGCCGGCAGTCCTGCTATGTCCCTAATGGGTTTCAGCCCCTTCCCGGCTGGGCTCTGGGCTACGACGACGCTCGCTTGGCCAGATGGTGGGGCCGCGCGGGTGCCTCCAGCCTCTCCCCACCCCGCCCCCCGCCCCCGCCCGCCCAGCCCATCAGATTAGCGCGCCGAGAAGGCGGGAGACAGCTCCCCATTCAGCCCCTCAAGTGCTGAAATCTACTCCATTATCCGCAGGGCACCGAGTGGAGGGCGCGGATGAATGGACCCTTTTGCCCTCCGCCCTTGCAGCGGCCCTGACCGTTCTGCTCACTGTCCCCATCTGTATTACCCTGTCACCTTCTGCTGCCTAGGGATTCGGTCTGGGGATTTGAGGGGTCAGGTTCGAGACTTGGGGTGGGGGGGCCCAGAGCGGGCCTGAGGCCCCCATTCAGGGGAAGGAGACTACGGTGCTGAGGGTTGCAGAGAGGTTCAGGGGTGCCGTGGCCTGGGGGTGTGAAGAGAGGTGGGGTGCCAAGGCTAGACAGGAAAACGGGGGCGGGGGGGGGCGTAAACTAAGCCAGTTAATGAGCTGAGCGCAGGCACGGAGGGGGTTGGACGCAGGCCTCTCCGTCCTGAAAAAGACCAGGAAAAAAGCCCCCCACCCCGTGGAGAGCAAACAGGACTCCATCTCCCAGCTGGGTGACACCCCTGTCCAGGGAGGTGGGAGGGCCCGGCAGGGGTCAGGGGGCTCACCCAGGCGGCTCCAGGACACAATGGGCCGGGGGTTGCCCGTGGCGACGCACTCCAGCACCGCAGTCTGGTGTACCGTCAGGGTGAGATTCTCAGGCCCCACGAGGATCGTTGGCTCCTTGTAGGCCCCCGAGCCAGAGCCTGGGGGGACACAGGTCACAGCTCCACACTTGAGCCAAGTCCCTGGTCCTGTCCCCACCCAGCACAGCCCCAGCCCCCCCCCCCATAAACACCAGCCCAGCACGCAGGTCCAGGGGTAGAGAGGTGGGGAGAAGGCCTTGCTCACAGCCCCCCAGGATGGGCCCTGCCCCCACTCCCAGGGAACTGGGGGGGGCCGGCTCGGACTCCTCTGCAGGGTTGGGGATGGCGGCGGGCCAGGCCCCTCACCGGACACCGTCAGCCGGGCTCCGTGGCTGACACGGACACTGGCGATGTTGGAGGCCACGCAGTGAAAGACGCCACTGTCTTCGGCCCGCAGGCCCGTGATCTGCAGAACCCCCCGGGGCAGCAGAGTGTACCTGCAGAGCGAGAGGTTCCCACGTGACACCACCGTCCCTGAGACACACCGGAGCCCCCACAGGTAGATAACACCTGGAACTGCCGCTGGAAACACACTTGTTCCTTTGTTCTGTCTGGGGGCCACACCCAGAAAGGCTCAGGGCTCAGGCCTCTGCACTCAGGGCTCACTCAGGGATTGGGCCAAGCTCGGCTGTCTGCAGAGCCAGCGCCCTCCCCAGCCCCCCTCTGATGCCCGTTCTAGACACAGCAGGCCCCGTGGACACCCGCTCTCAGGCCCAGCAGGCCCCGTGGACACCTGCTCTCAGGCCCAGCAGGCCCCGTGGACACCCGCTCTCAGGCCCAGCAGACCTCGTGGACACCCGGTCTCAGGCCCAGCAGGCCGTGGACACCCGGTCTCAGGCCCAGCAGGCCCCGTGAACACCCACTCTCAACAGCTGCCCCCTCACCCCGTGGGCTCACCTCTCATTGTCTGTGTTGATGGGGACTCGGTTCTTCTCCCATGTGATCCGGGGTTTGGGAAGCCCGTGGATTTGGCACTGGAATCGGGCCACACCACCCTCCTCACCCTTGACGGCCTGAGGGTGCACATGGAAGTCGGACATGCCTGGAGGAGGGAAGGAAGATGTAAGGGCAGGGCACCGGCCAGGCACAGCAGGCAGGGGCCAGCCTAGTGGCTGTGGCTCAGGGACAGGGCCGGAGCAATAGTACAGTGGGAGGGCATTTGCCTTGGATATGGCTGACCTGGGTTCAATCCCTGGCATCCCATATGGTCCCCTGAGCACTGCCAGGAGTCACTCCAGAGGGCAGGGTCAGGAGTAACTCCGGAGCATCACCAGGTGTGGCCCCCAAGCAAAATAAAACACAAAATACAAGACCACAGGGACGGGGGTCTCAGAACTTGCAGGGAACATCTCCCCAGATGGGTGGGCCTGCAAAGAAACTGAGTCCCTCCAAATAAGCTCCACAGAACTCTTGGCTGCCTGACTCCTAACAAGGAAATCCAGAGCCGCTCGGGCACCCCTAAAGGTAGCCCACAAAGGCCAGTCCCAAAAAGACCTGTTCCCACATGTGTCTGCCTCTGACCTTAGTTTTGTTTTTTTTGTTTTGGGTCATCCCCGGGAAGCTCAGGGGGTCACTCCTGGTTTTGTACTCAGGAATGAATCCTGGCAGTGCTCAGGGGACCATATGGGATGCTGGGAATTGAACTCTGGTTGGCCGCGTGCAAGGCAAACAAACACTCTACTCGCTGTGCTATCACTCCAGTCCCTAGTTTTGATTTTTTTTTTATTTTGGGTCACCCCCTGGGATGCTCAGGGGGTCACTCCTGGTTTTGTACTCAGGAATGACTCCTGGCAGCACTCGGGGGATCATACGGGGTGCCAGGGATTGAACCTGGGTCAGCTGCAGGGCCCCTGAACTTATTTGAATAAAGTCTCTGCAGGTGTGTGAGGCTCACGCATACAGCGGGTGTCACAGACCAGGGCCCAGAAAAGGAAGGACTAGCCCGGACCCGTCCAGTATGAGGATTGGCCGTTCAGGCCTGATTCCAGGTGCTTCGTAGCTTTCATGGTTACCAATGATACTCACTGGCACTTGGCGGGGAGTGGGGGCATCACCCCTGGCTGTGAGCTCAGAGTGACCTCTGGCAATGCTAGGGGAACATATGGTGTGCCAGGGATTGAACGAGGGTTGTGGTTGAAGCATTCACACACAAGATAAGCCCCTTACCTCCTGGATTCATTTGTTCCCTGGAGGCTACTCTTGGGGGTGCTGGGGTGGAATCCGAGGTTCCAGTGTGCCAGGCCTGCACCTGTGCCCCAGACTTTGAAAATCCCCCCTGCCTCCTGGGTTTCCCCCGCCTCGTCTGCCTGCAGCTCCTTCTGTACCTGAGAAGATGACCAGCCTCTCGGGAGTGGTCAGACCTGCTGGCCCCTGCGTCCGTGTGGTGCAGTCAGCCTCCCTGGCCATCAGCACCAACCCTGGACCTCCACAGAGATCTCTGCAGAAGGTCTGGAGCAATAGCACAGCGGGTCGGGCGTCTGCCTTGCACGCGGTTGACCCGGGTTTGATTCCCAGCATCCCATATGGTCCCCCGAGCACTGCCAGAAGTAATTCCTGAGTGCAGAGTCAGGAGTAACCCCTGTGCATTGCCGGTGTGACCCAAAAAAGGTTAAAAAAAAAAAGATCTCTGCAGAGCGACCAATGAGCTCTCGGGCCCGTGCAGCCGGCTGGTCCCCCTGATTCTCACCATGCCTGAGCCCCGATGGCTGGCGCCCCCCCTGCCTGCAGCGCCAAGCGCAGATTTCATTAAAACCCACTTTGCTTCAAGTGCGGGAAGAAGGCGCACCATCTGTCCTGACAGCCAGCCCTCCCACAGCACTCCATCAACCGGGACAGTTGTCCCCTCCCAGGAGGGGCCCGGGACACTGGCGCCAGCTCTGGGCTCCCTGGGGCGGGTGGCACAGCCCTCCCGACCCCGACCCTGTGTGTGTGCGCGCACACGAAGCCTGTCCTGGACTGCAGACGCCCGAGGCTGAGTCTTTGTGCCCGTCTTCCCAGAGCCTCCGGGCCTGACGCTTTTGTGGTGCCTTCTCCTCCTCATTTGCATGTGGCTCATTAAATATCAACATGCACAGAAGCGCCCAGGCCTTTCCCGGCTCCACTCCGGCTCCCGCTAAGGCTGTGGCAGGTGTGCCCCCAGGCTGCCCAACTCTCTGGGGTCTTCGTGCCTGCCACGGCCAGATGTGGGGGACTCTAGTCATCAGCCGTATGTTCCCACGGAGGTACAGACCTGACAGTGGGTACTCCGGGGTGGGAGGCAGGTGGGATGCTTCAGGCTTGGTGAATGGTTCCCCCTCACTGCACTCTGGGGAGTCCCAGGGTCAGGGGGCCTGGGCCAGGCCAAAGGCTATGTTTGGCCAAGGGATCGTGGTCAGTCCTGGGGGAGAGGGGCGGAGGCTGGCGGTGGGGGTGCAGCTGGCTATGGCCCTGGAGCTCCCGATTCCAGCTGGAGAGGCGCTGGCAGCCCCCAGGGACTGGGGGGAACTAATGGCTGCGCTGAGTACAGATGCTGCCTCGTTAAAGAGCCCAATCCCTGAATCCTTTTGTGTTCGCAGCCCGGGTTCCAGTTCCCCAGAGGAGCTGCCCAGAGAAATACTCGCTTCCTGTCCTGCCAGGCACCACTAGGGAGGAAGCTGCCGGGGATGGAGAAGGTGGGCTCGCCACCACCTCGTTCTCCCCACAGCCCCGCCACGGAGCCCCCAAAAGATGCTGGCTAGGAAGGAAGCATTGGTGGCGTGAGGGTTGGCGTGGCGCGGCTCACTGCACAGGCGCTCGCTCGTAATCCCTGGGGTATAAGGACGCAGCTGCACCCTCCCCCCCCACAGTTCCCCAGTGCCTGTCTACTGGGCAGCTCCCCCGATCCCGGGATTCAGCCTGCAGCTCTGCCCAATATGTTGGCAGTGTGGCGGGGGGGCCCTCTCGGGCCACACCCGGCGATGTTCAGAGCTTACTCCTGGCTCTGTGCTCAGGGAGCACTCCCGGCAGGGCTTGAGGGATCACAGGCAGTGCCAGGGATCAAACTGGGGCTGGCTGCGTACTCCCGGTCCTATCTCTCTGGCCTCTGTCCAATATTTCATTGGAGTGGAAGCTTTGTCCTAAAAGTGCCTGACCTGTATTCAGTCCCCAGCATCACGTATGGTCCCCCGAGTCCTGTCAGAAGTGATCCCTGAGCACAGAGCCAGGGGTCAGCCCTGAGCACCACCCAGCGTGGGCCAGAAACAAAACCAAAAAAACAAAGTGCTTGAAAGTGACCGCTGAGAGCCAACACTTCATCTCCCAAGGGGGAAATAGTCAGAAGCTCCACAGCTGGTTCCTAACTGACCACTCCTTGGATGTCCTCAGGCTCCTTGGGGTGGGGGCTCTGGGGGAAGATGGAGTCGTCCTCCAGATGGGTCTCAGTCCCATGGCCCGCCGTCCAGGGGACAGGGGACAAGAGTGTTCCTGACTCTGCTCACTTCCACTCTCTCCCCAAGCCCCGGCCAAGGCCAAGCCACGCAGTCAGAATGTAGCCTGCCAGGGCTAGAGCGATAGCACAGCAGGTAGGGCGTTTGCCTTGCACGCGGCCGACCCAGCTTTGAAACCCAGCATCTCATATGGTCCCCTGTGCACCGCCAGGAGTAATTCCTGAGTGCAGAGCCAGAAGTAATCCCTGAGCATCGCCAGGTGTGACCCAAAAAAGCAAAAAAAAAAAAAAAAAAAAAGAATGCAGCCTGCTCCTCATACTGGGAGTAATGGGGTTCCGGGGGTGCCCCGTGGGCTCTGCCATCCCGATCTAAGGAAAAGCATCTCCCCCTTTTTTAAGTTGGAGGATAAAGGGTTGTTGTTTTTTTTTTTTTTTTTTGCTCCAGTGTTAAGCCATGCCCCTGGCCCACGGGAGGAGTTCCTCGGGGTCCCATAGGCCTGCCTCTCTTGGGATAGGGCTTCTGAGGCTGCTTTTTGCCAAGGCTTATGGTGTGGGGAGAGGCTGGCTCTGCTGCGACTGCTTTAAGGACAAGGGGTCTGGGCCCAGGCTGGGGCCGAGGGCTGAGCTCAGGGCAGGCGCCCGGCGACAGAGGGGACACATGCGGGTCTGTGCTGGGGGCAGGAAGGAGGGGCTGGGATGTGTGGGTGCCAGGCTCCTGCCCACATCTCTTGGCCCAGGAGGGACAGTTTGGGCTGGGGAGGGTAATGCTGGGGTTGGGACCCTTCTAAGAATGAGGACCATAGAGCAGGAGGGAGTGAGGACGGGGCTCATGGGGGGGACGGAAGCTCCTGTGTCCCCAAGCAATCCAGGAAGTAGTGTCCAGGGTCCCACCCCTCCAGGTCAACACCAGGCAGGAGGGGTGGGAAGAGCCAATCCCCTCTCCCCCCACCCCCCATCCGCCAGGACTGAGGGAACAGAAACAGGAAACGGCACCGACCCTCATGAATCACTGGCTGGGGCCCGAGAGCACATCCAGAGGCGGGACATGCCCCTCCGGGGTCGGGGTCAGGGCGGCTGGGAGGGAAGGCCTGGGACTGATTAGATGGCTCTGGGGGGCTCAGGGCAGCGGCACAGAGCTGGAAGGAGAGTCACGACCCCCAAGTCGGCCTGAAGCTCTCCAGTTAGGAGAGAGGAGGGGGGTTCAGGCATGGCCAGTGGCACGGGGTTATGACACAAACGCCCCCCAGACACACACACAGGCATGCACAAACATACACATATGCACTCACACATATACAGACACACACATATGGACACACTGACATACACAAATACACACACACAAACACACATACATGCTCACACATATATACAGAGACACACACACATATACACTCACACATAAACACACAAATACATACACACATATACAGACACACAGACATACATAAACACACACATACACACACACATAGATACACACAAACACACGCATACATACACACATACAAATACACAGACATACACACACAAATACATACTCACACATAGACACACAAACACAAGACACACAGACACTGACACACAGATGCACACTCAACACAGACACAGCGGCTCCTGAGAAACAACCTCTACCACGC